ACAGCACTTATTGCACGAAATTTCCTAAAATTGGTTTAAATTTCATATAAGAAAACATCTTAAATGTTATTTTGATTTATATAATGACTTAGATTTAGAATTTTAAATCACAGGAAGTGTTTAATGGGAAAAATAGTGCAAAATTATAGTTGTCTTAAAAACATTTACATGTTATTAGAGTTTAATAGTGAAAGTGAGGAATCAAAGAGTGATTTTCTATGTAATGAACTGCACGTCTGATTTATACTTTGTTGTCCTAATGACCGGATTATTACTAAAATAAAAGATTAGTTGTCATTAAAGTAAAGACTATCACTAAGATCTTTGAGACACTGACTTGTGAGCCAATACTCTGACAAATTGTCATTTCTCTTAACGCATCGCTTATTTTCCCAGCGCTTGTATGCATGGCTCACATCTGCTATTAGTTTTACTCTCTATACTCGAGTAACAAATCATTTTTTGTAGTAATTTTGGTTACTTATGTTTTTTCAATATCGTTAGTTTTCATTAACTTTTCTGTTCTTAAACCTCTAATCATTTCTTAATCATTTTTAAATACGTTTGTAATTTCGGTACGCTCAACAGCTATCGCTGTCCATTAAAGTGATTGTTTGAAGCCTGGATTTTTGGCGATGCCTTTGTCCACGTGAAAAATGTCATATTATATAATGTAGATTAGAATGAGATAAGTATAGCAGTAATGAATGATATATACCTTAACTTGCTCAAATTCATGAATTCTGAATTCAAGCAATTCGTTTTGATCGCGTGTTTCTTGTAATTCAATACTTAATAATTCGATCTGTTTTTGAGGTATAGTTTATTGAAGTTTTTGAATAAGACTGCAAAGGAGTTATAGCAATGAAAGCACTGTTACCTGTCTCCTGAGTTCATCAAATTCTTTTTTATTAGATTTCTTTTGTTGTGAGTTTGAAATGTTGTGTTTGGGTCGTTGACTGCCATCCCTTTCGAGTATTTCTCTCAATGACTGGCAGACTGTGGCGAAAGACTGCTGAAGAATAACATGTTCTTTGCATAACTTCTTGTGTATAATTATGGGTATTGAGGAGATCTGCAACATAATTACAAACTTATTTACATCATCTCACTTTCACTCAAACGCCAATTGATTCTCAATTCAAATCTTATATAAAAACAGATTATATTCATTAAAATTGAATAAAATCTAATCATTTGATACCTTGATGTGTGAAAAGTTTTTTCAACCCTTTAAACGAGTAGAACTAATAGATTAGTTCAAACTCTTTTTATCTAACCATTGTTAAAACATATATAAAATTCATATAAGATTATGGCTTTAAAATAAGGTAGAATTTATCAAAAATCATTTAATATTTAAAATATATTACTGTAATTCATTTATGTTCATATAAATGGGAAAATACAAACATTTTTTATCTGACAAAAAACCGTAACGAATACATGTATGGAATGATTATCTCGAGAAATACATGGAGTTTAGAAATGATGTAAAACTCTGCCCTAAAGCTAAAGCCACTGTCAGAGTCAGCTCTTAAAAGTCTCAATGAAATAGTCATAAAGTAATAAAATTACAGTAAAAACTTGTATACATTAATAATCACATAAAATGTAAAATTTATGCAAATACGAGTCCGGATAAAATTTAATTTTGTATATAATTGTCAACAAATTTTATGATTAATTGGAGTAAATAATTAATAATTTCTTCTAAACATATCAATACGACATATCATTATTTTTTATGATACAAACCTAATATTACGGTATTTAAAAAATATTTTTAAAAAGATGTTTTTCTACTATACTGTAAATATATAAAATATATAAAATAAATTAAAGGTAGTTTTAACAAAACTTGGATTACCAAAATATTCGCATCATTTTAAGCCCCTATTATTAATATTGCAATTTAATGAGAATTTAGTACAAATACTGGAATAATTATATCTCAAACTAATGAGTGAAATACATTATTTTATAATTATTATACTTAATAATCTAATTTTTGTGTTTATAAAAATAAATGAATTCAAGATATATTAATTTTATATGAGGAAATTAATTTTTAACACTATATTTAAATATATTTATTTTTCAATTCAGACAATTTATTTCAAAATATTTTGTAATACCAAAACATTAAAAGTATTATATTTAGATGAATAGTATAGTTTAGTAGATTTACATTTCACAATGTAAATACATAATTTAAATATAATTAGAATTTGTTTGATTTATGTGTTCATAAATGAGCAATTAAGTATATATTTCACAAATTAATAATTCTTTTTATACATTTCCTACCGTATCTTATGTTTAGATTTTAATTATTACTATTAAAATCTATTTAGAATGGAAAATTAAGATACTGCGATAATTAAGCAAGTACATTAAAACAGTACGATAATAGAGATATAAAAATATTGACTACGAAAATAACTTACATTGAGTTGTTGTGTGGGCGCAATTTCATTATCCTCTAATAATTTGAAGTTAATTAAAGACATCTACAGAACAATGTATTTGAAAATATATTGTTATATAACATGATATACTGTAAAGAGTGGTAATTGTGATGAATGAATAGAAAGATGAGAATTACTTGTCTTTTGAGTTGACACTTAGTTTTGGTATTTTTGTTGAACACTATATTAGAGATGAATTCTTGATTGGATTGACACTTAGAAAGGGTTTGATTGAGTGAATGACAGACTGATGCGAAAGACCTCTGCAGAAGCAGGTGCTCTCTCTGCAACTTCTTATACATTAGGCCAGAGGTCT